TGTCCAAAACACTGTAGCTGTGCCCCATATATCCCCCTTTACTTTTGTTTTTAAACACGCCTATTTACATTATCCAAAAAACTCTAAACAAATTATTCAGCGTAAAGCTGAAGATCATGGAGGAAATATTAAACTTACTTCTGGCTATTAACAAAACCATAAACAGCAATGTTAACAAGAGAACAAAACTCTGGCTAATAACAAAGCAATACCAATGCAAAACCAAACTACAAGCATGTTAACGTTTCAGGACATCTTACTCAAAGTCCTTAGGTTCAGCTCCGCAAGATTTTTCAGAAAACCGACAGTTCACCAACGCTAGCATAGCTTCCACTTGCTTTTCTAACATCTGCTTGGCCGCAGTCGCCATCTTCTCCAGCGGACTCCATGCTGATATCCCGCCGATGCAAAACTAGTGCCCTGGGTCAGGCTGTTTGGACGGTTGTCCTCAGCACTGAGTCCGCACAGGTGGCAGTCTGGTCCCTACTCGGCCTCTTTCTCTAGCCATGGCTGCATGGAAACGAGCAGCCCTCGGTCCTGCAGAGCTGGAGACCTCCAACTCTGAGTCTGGCGTCTCACACAGACCCCAAGTCCCAGGAAGCTATCTGGTTCCGCAAGCAAAGATAACCAAAGCCTAGAAACAATGCAACTGCCGCACGAGCTTATGATCTAGGTCTAAAATAAAAATTACTGCCCTGACCGGTTTGGCTCAGTGGATAGAGCGTCGCCCTGCGGGCTGAAGGGTCCCGGGTTCAATTCCGGCCAAGGGCATGTACCTTGGTTGCGGGCACATCCCCAGTCGGAGATGTGCAGGAGGCAGCTGGTCGATGTTTCTAACACTCTATCCCTCTCCCTTCCTCTCTGTGAAAAATCTATAAAATATATTTTTTAAAAAATTACTTCCTTAAACATCAGCAACCACAGCCATCTTCTGCTTTACAGTGGCTTAAACAAAACCTAGGAGATTTCTACCTTATTTTGTACCTCTTAATTACTTATTTTCTACCACTTATTTCTCTATTTCTACTTTATTTCTAACACTTGTTTCTACTTATTTCTCTATTTCTACAGCTTATTTCCTACCACTTATTTTTTAGTTTATTTCTTACCGCTTATTTTCTAATGTCTACCACTTACTTTCTAATGCTTATTTCTCTCTACCGCTTACTTTCTACTTATTTCTCTACCTCTAACTATGAACTTGGCTGCCCTTGTCCAAACCTTCCTGGTTGCAACCCCCGCTTACAGAACCATAGGTAGGCCTGGCTGCCCTTGCCCAAACCTTTCCTGGGTTGCAACCCCCGTTTATTTCTCTATTTCTACAGCTTATTTCTACTTATTTCTCTATTTCTACCGCTTATTTCTACATTTCTACCGCTTATTTCCTACCGCTTACTTCTCTATTTATTTCTCTATGTCAGGGGTCCTCAAACTTTTTAAACAGGGGACCAGTTCACTGTCCCTCAGACCGTTGGAGGGCCGGACTATAGTTTAAAAAAAAAACTATGAACAAATTCCTATGCACACTGCACGTATCTTATTTTGAAGTAAAAAAACAAAACGGGAACAAATACAATATTTGTATTTGCATGTGGCCCGCGGGCCGTAGTTTGAGGACCCCTGCTCTATGCTAACAGCCATAAACATGGCTGAAGGGGTAGCTTCCACTCCTTGCTTTTCTGCCCTTTGCTGGGCCTCCGTTGTTAGCGTCTTCCGCTGACCCCATGTGGGCACCTCGGCCCCTAGTGTGGCCTCTGTTTTCTTTCTCTTCCTCTTTGCTGTCATCGGGGCAACTCTCAGTCCCTTGATCGGAGGGACAAGGAGCTTCTCGGGTCCATTGTGGTGTCGCACATACCGTCCTGGCACCCAAATTGGCTGCTGCTCCTTCTGGAAAGACACAAACACCTCTTCTCCCTGTTTGTTTTAGTCCTTGCATTTTCAGAGTACGATTGGCTACTAAATCCTGAAGTGTCTTCCCCAGCCTGCTTAGCCTCATACAGAGACGCTGGAGTGGAGACAGAGATCCCACTCTTGTTCTTGCTTGTTTAGAAGGTGACTGGAGAGGCTTATGAGTGACAGTGAGCTTCCCGAAGGCTTGTCTTAGACCCATCATCCCGGCCCGCCTGCGTTGTTCCCTCTCTGCCTCCTCCTCCAATTCTCGTTCGTTTTTGGAGGAAGCACATTGTCCAGAGGGCTTTCCCCCACAGGAATGGTAGCCCCAGGGACTGGAGGAGGTAATGGAGGTGCCGAAGGTGTAAGTGGAGTCGGAAGCCTCTGGTCACTTTCTACTATTTGTCTTACATCTCCTGCCGCATCCATCCATCCCTTTTAGGGAAGGGGCTCTAGGTAGTCCTGAATCATGGACCACAAACTGACGATAGAAGCAGGAATTTTCTCTGGGCCTTCAGCTATATAGCAATCTCTAAGTTGCTTCTGCTTATTTCTACCTTAGAAATTTAAAAATGCCTACTTTAAAAATGCTTCAATTAAGCATTGTCCCCTGTTTTACACTGAGCTAATTTACCACACCTCGGCTCCCTACCTTACTTTTGTTTCTTGGCCTTATCTTACTTTTGCTTTTTAATCTTACTCTCTGCGCGCGCCTTGGAGCCTCCTTTCACCTGACCACTTTTTAAATTCCCCCGAACTCATCCCTGTTCGGGCGCCACTTGGGCCGCGCCAGCACAGCCAAGGGTGAGCCAGAGTGGGGGTGATGAAAGGATTAAGAAAAGACAGACAAGAGAACGAAAGCTGGGTCTCGGTGGGATGCTGCTCCCTGATGAGGAGACAACACCAGCGCCCACAAGCCGTGTCTTTATTTTATAGCAGATGCCACGAGGCAAAGTAGGGGCGTGATCACGTTGTTTACAGCATTCTCGTGGGTTTCAACCTCACTCAACTACATGCACCTGAACTCTATCACTCAGGCACGTGGGGCCAGGTGTTCGGACCATAGGCTCAAGCTCACAGCTATAGCCATTGGCTATGATTGTGCTGGGAGGGCCCTGCCCTCCAGCTGGGACTTGCACATGCCCATGAGAGGACCGTGCCCTCTCATCAGTCCAAGGCTTGAACCTGGCCAAACCCTGTAGCTGAGCCCCACGGGGGGCGGATGAAGAGGTGACTGATTTGGCTGAACGGGTGTTTGCTGCCCCCTTGTGTCGGGCCGACGCCTTCCCGTTCCTTCCAAGTCTGTTTCCCCAAACTCCCTAGGTGCCCTCGGAGGAAACACCTTTCCCTGACGCGCTTGGCGGCCGCCTCCCTGGCCCGTGCCCACCCCATCGCTCAGCACTCGCGGCCCCTCCCCACAGGGCCTCCTGGCCTTGGACGCCTCTCACACCAACTGCCCTTCGTGTCACCAGGACCGTTAGGGGCTGAATGGTGCCCCCCTCCCCCACCCCTCCCAAGTTCCTGTGTGGAAGACCTACGCCCCAGGACCTTAGAACGTGACTCTATTCGTAGATATTCTTTTAAAAAATCTTTACTGTTGAAAATATTACGTATGTCCCCTCCCCCACCCAGTGACCCCTTCTAGCCGGCCTGTCCCAGGCCTTCACCACCCTATTGTCTGTGACCCAAGGGAAATGAGCCAGAGGAAGGCCTGCTCTCACTCCTGTGTGGAATCTAATGAGCAAAATAAACTGATGAACAGAGTGGATCCAGAGACACGGAAGCACGGAACGGAGGTGCGGGGGGCGGGGGGATCAGCCAAAGACCTCGTGTGCATATAGGCATCGCCCATGTAGACAGACTCTGAAAGGGGAGACTCAGTGAGCGAGGCCCTGAGGGTGTCCCCACGAGAAGAGATTAGGCCACGGACGTGCCCGGGAGGGCAGCCATGTGGCCACACAGGCAGATACTCATCTACCAACAAGGAGTCGGGCCTCAAGACGCCAGCGTGGGGCCTCCTCGATCGCAGACGTGTGGCCTCCAGCGGGGAAGCCGGCCACGCCGCCCGACACCGGCTGTGGCAGCCCTGGCACGGGCACCAGGTCCTCGCAGGCCTGTGTCTGCAGTTCCACCCCAGGAGCCTGCGGCTGAGCGGGTCCCGCTCCGTAAAAGGGGAAGGACAGTTGCTACAAGCAGCTCAGGAGGCAGCACCCACGCGGCTCCTTCCATCGGAGACAGGCCAGAGCCCCCTTTTGCGCGGCCGTCTCCTCCCACCCCCTCTAGGTCCTCCCTGTCTTGCAAGGATCCACTAGACCAGTGGTTCTCAACCTTCCTAATGCCGCGACCCTTTAATGCAGTTCCTCATGTTGTGGTGACCCCCAACCATAAAATTATTTTCGTTGCTACTTCATAACTGATTTTGCTACTGTTATGAGTCATAATGTAACTATCTGATATGCAGGATGTATTTTCATTGTTACAAATTGAACATAATGAAAGCATAGTGATTAATCACAAAAACAATATGTAATTATGTATGTGTTTTCCGATGGTCTTAGGTGACCCCTGTGAAAGGGTCGTTGGACCCCCCCAAGGGGTCGCGACCCACAGGTTGAGAACCGCTGCCCTAGGGCTTCCTACTCCTCCCCGTCCCTTCCTTCCTGCTGCGCCAGCCCATACCGACCAGCAGCTGTTAATCCCGATCTCTCGCTGACCTCGTGCTGGGCTCTGTGTCCTGTGGCCAAACGGCTTCCCGGGTCCCACGTCCCACCCCCGCCTTTCCTTGCGCAGCGACGCTACGCTAGAGTCTCCCACCCGCTAGCCGGCTCTGGTCCCGCGGCGAGGCCTAGGTTCGGCAGGCGGGTCTGTTTGGCCCAGAAGAAACCGGCTTGCGCCTTACCTCGCAGCTAAGGGAGGAAGACTACCACTCCCAGAAGCCCTTTCGCCTCGGGCTGGAGATTCGCAAGCCTCCTGGCCCTCTTCTCGGAGGAGACTGAACTGCGCACGTGCGCAAGGCTCCGCGGGCATGGCGAGGACTACATCTCCCAGAAGGCCGCGCGGGTCATTTTCATCCCCGCGTGACGCCCGCCTTCCGGCGCGGAGGGGCGGGGCAGTGCGCGCGCTGAGCCAGCAGCTGGAGCGGCCGAGGGGAGCGGCCCGGCGGCCGGCGGGCTCTGTCCGTCATGGAGGCCGTGCCCCGCATGCCCATGATCTGGCTGGACCTGAAGGAGGCCGGCGACTTCCTCTTCCAGGCGGCTGTGAAGAAGGTGAGCGCTGCTCCTCTCCCGCTCCTTCCGCGTCTCCGCCGTCGGCCCGCGCGTGACGCCCCTGCGCGCCGTCCCCTCCCCAGGCCCCGCCGCTCCCTCCGCCGGCCCAGCCTCTTTCCCCCGCGCGCCCGGGGCCCTGCTCCCGCTCCTCACGCGCCCGGGGCTGGCACCGCGGCCTCGTCGACGCCGCTGTTTAACTTCGGTCCCGGGCCACCCACGGCGCCCGCGGGGCGCACACTTCCTCGGCGTGACGCTCGGACCCAGCCCGCCCCGCCCTCCTCACGCCAGAGCCGCCCCCGGGAGCAGGGGGAGGGGGCGCGCGGTCCCGGGACTGGCCGGCCGGACGCAAGGCGCTCGGACCGTTTAGTACGCGGGCCAGGTACGGGGACCCCCTCGGTCCGGAGCCGCTCAGTACGGGCCGCGTACCCCGGGCGGGTCTCCCCTTTCCAGCCGCCCCGGGGATGAGCAGCGGGAGCGGCCCGGAGGCCCTCGCACGTTTGGGTTGAGCCGGTCGAGGTCGGAGGTCGGAGGACGCGGGCGGGCCTGGCGCTGATGGAGGCGGCGGCCTGTGACCGAAGATCGGATGTGAAGTCGGGCCGGTGCGGGGACTGCGCCTCGGGAGCCCCGCGACGTCGGCCTGGGAAGGGCCCCTGGTCGCCTCGAGGGTCGGCAGGAGCGGAAGGACCAGCCGGGCACCCTCGTCATCAGCTGTTTCTGCAAAAGCCGAGGCCCGAGGAAAAGAGAGAAAAAGCAGGGACCCACGAGGCCCGGGGGACCCGCCTGAGGCCCGGGGACCCTCAGGAGGCCCAGGGGACCCGCACGAGGCCCGGTGCCCGCAGGAGGCCCGGTGGCCCAGGTGGTGCAGGGGCTTTCGAGCTGGCCTGGCTCGGGGGCCGTGGTTCGATTCCCCGTCAGGGCACAGGCGGCTCCATCCCCAGCGGGGGGCCTGCAGGGGGCAGCCTTCGTGGTTCTCTCATCGATGTTTCTCTCTCCCTCCCTCTCTGACTATATTTAAAAAAAATAAAAGAAAATGGGCTGGGAAGTAGTTTCCTCTCTGCGCCCCTGCGTTCCTGCAGACACTGGCAACTCGTGTTGCGTGTGGAGCCATCATTTAACCTCCGTGGGCCTTTGTCCTCACAAAACCAGGAAACTCGTCTAAGACGTTCCCACCTCCCCACCTGCTCTTCGCACACATACGAACCCCTAGCTCTTCATCCTCTTCTGGTGACGTTGTCTGTGCTGCTGGGGGGTAACCCCCCGCCCCCGCCCCCACCCCCGCTCCACTGGGAGTGACCGGAGGCATCTCCTGCCTTCGCAGCCTGGTGGGCACCCAGGGAAGGTGACCCTCCGACAGTTGGGAGGGACTGAGAGGTGCCGCCTCTCACTTCACTTAAACCCAATGGAGGGCATCTTGGTTCAGAGGCGCCTAGGACAGGGGTGGGCAACCCCTGGCACGCGTGCCAAACATGGCCCGCCAGTAACTTTTGCTGGCATGCGAAACCCTCTCTTATAATCTTCCATTTACAGTGTTTTTTTTAATACCGACTTTTTTTATTTTTCACACAAATTCAGTGTAGGTGCATCTTAGGTAAATAAATAATTTTACATAACAAGTTATCTTAAAGACTATAGACATGGCTGACTTTGAAATGCAGTTGATTGAATTTCAGGGTAGCTCAATTTGGAAGCAGAAATTTATTGACCTTAGAGTTGACTTGGAAAACATTGAAAAAAAGCGATTAGAGACAGGAGTACCAGAGAGAAGTGTCGAAAACGAACCATTGAGGACTTGGAATGCCATTCCTTTCTGTTTAAGAAACTTTGCAACAATGTTACTCTCCATGTTTTCATCCACATACGCTTGTGAATCTTTGTTCTCAGTGATGAATTTCGTTAAGTCTTGTAATAGGAGTAGCCTGGTGGATGAAAGTAGTAGCTCGTACATATCTCTGAAGGTCACGAAATATAAACCTGATGCAGCAGCAAAAGTCCCACTGATAATATCAGACGGAGTCATAAAGTTTTCTGTCGGACTGTCAGTGTACATGTATACATTAAATGTATTTTTCATCATCACATACTGTGTTTTTGTCGCTTGAATGAATTTTATTATTTCAAGGTTCTTCACATACGTACACCTTAAGAGATATCAAGTAGACGTACATGTTCTCAAAAAACTAGGGTTGGCACGCAGAAGAATTTGAGTCAGAGATTTTGCTGGTTTTGGCACGCACTCACAAAAAGGTTGCCCACCCCTGGCCTAGGAGATGCCTGGTCGGAATTTACCTCTGGTGCTCTCTGGGGGCTCACGTTGGCGACACGGTGCCCGCCGTGGGAGAAGCTGGGCCTCCGAGAGGAGTTCTCAGGAGCCATTTAGCCTGAGGTGTCAGCCGCTCAAGAGACAAGTTCCTGTCCCTCTGCTCTTTTATTTTTTAAATGTTTTTATTGATTTCGGAGAGGAAGGGAGAGAGAGAGACAGGGACATCAATGATGAGAGAGAGTCATGGATCGGCTGCCTCCTGCACGCACCCCACTGGGGATCGAGCCCGCAACCTGGGCATGTGTCCCCGACCGTAATCCACCCTGGAACCCTTCGGTCTGCACGCCGACGCTCTGTCCACTGAGCCACACCGGCAGAGCTGCTCTTTTTCTTTGTTTCCTTTTCTTTGGACGTGGGAAAGGTGCCACCATTTATTTGACAAGGTTCTGACACGTGTTTGCGTGAACCCCCTGAGCCATCGGTGGGTGGGCTGCGCTTGAGCATGGCCACCTCCTCCAGGGCACCCTGGGACTGTCCTGACGAGGCGACGCCCCTGCAGCCTGGGAGCTCTCCCTGACCTGGACTCCTCTCCCCAGCCCTGGAGCCCCCACTCTGCCTGTTCTTCCCTTGCTCTGAGCTGCAGGAATATGCACTTGGAGCTGAGGGGTAGAGTCCAGTTTAGGACAGTAGGGTAAAAATGGGTTGTGTTCAGGTCAGCCTGTGGAGCACTGTGCTGAGCCCTGATGATACAGAAGGGTAAGAGGTGACACTTTTTCCTGGCATTCGTAATCTAGAAGAGGACATTTACAAGTTAGACGGTGACACCAGTGGAAGAGGAGAAATATGTGCACTGCATGGAAAGACCAGGCCCAGAAAGTTCCCTCACCCTGAACAGCGTGACTTGATGCTTAGAGCTTCGGCCTGTTCGCGGGAGGGTCTCGGGTTCGATTCCCGAACAAGGGCATGTTTCGATCCCTGGTCCCTGTTGGGGTGCATACAGGAGACAGTCAATGTGTCTCTCTCACATTGATGTTTCTCTCTCTCTTTCTCTCTCCCCCTCCCCCCCTCTCCTCCCCCTAAAAAATCAATGGAAAGCCCTGTTGGCATGGCTCAGTGGTTGAGCGTCGACCTCTGAATCAGAAGGTTGCAGTTCCATTCCTGGTCAGGGCACATGCCTGATTGCAGGCTTGATCCCCAATGTGGGGGGTGCAGGAGACAGCCGGTCCATGATTCTCTCTCATCATTGATATTTCTATCTCTCCCTCTTCCTTCCTCTCTGAAATCAATAAAAAAATATTTTTTAAAAAGAAAACATCTTAAAAAATCTAGCCTGCTATATTTGGTCCAACATTTAATTAACTCGCCCCTAATGCGGTGACAGGGCAGTCCCCACCCCCATTGGTTCTGGCCGTGCCTCCAGGCGGTGAGTGTGGTCACTGTCCAGGCGGTCAGTTCTGAGGTGGTGGCTGGGCAGGCAGTGGTGTGAGCAGTGACCTTCCCTTTGCCCCTCTTCTGCTCATCCCTGTCACCCAGCCGTGGGCCTGCCCTCCCCGCCGGGGACACTGCAGACCACTTGTCTGTGGTGCCTTCCCAGCCAGGAGGGTGGGCTGCTGAAGAGGCTTTGCACTCCCACTCTTGCTTGGCACCTCTGTCGACACTTACTGTTGGGTTAGGACAGTGGTCGGCAAACCGCGGCTCCTGAGCCACATGCGGCTCTGTGGCCCCTTGAGTGTGGCTCTTCCACAAAATACCGACTTCTGCGCACGGGCCACGAAGTTTCAATCGCACTGTACGTGTGCGCCCACACGTATTTTGTGGAAGAGCCACACTCAAGGGGCCAAAGAGCCGCATGTGGCTCACGAGCCGCGGTTTGCCGACCACTGGGCCAGGGTATGGTGTGACCCAGAGCACAACAGGTCCGACCCTAAAGGAGGCTTGACTGTGTGGCCTGTTCGGGGTGCTCTTAGGATCCCATTCCGCCCCTGAGTTCCCCGGCCTCCTGAGCTGGCAGAGTCCTGGGCATCGTGGAGAGGCTGCCTCGCGGTGGAGACCAGCCTGGGATTCACGCGGGGCCGTCCAGGCTGAGGCTCCATTCTGCTCAGAGGAGGAGGCTCTGGCCGGCCTCGTGGTGCTGCCCCGTGACTGAGCTCCTGGTGGCCCAGGAGGAGCTGGTGGTGGTGGTGTGGGTGGCTCCTGAGCCCTGACTGGTGATTGTGAGGTTTGGGGGGGCGGGGAGGAGCGGGAGCCGGGGAGTCTCTCTCCCTGGATGACATTCCCCTCCTCTCTCTGCAGTTTGTCCTGAAGAATTATGGAGAGAACCCCGACGCCTACAGTGAGGAGCTGAAGAAGCTGGAGCTGCTCCGACAGGTAGGAGGCAGCGTGTGAGGTGTGGCCAGGACTGGTTTGAGGGACGTGAAGACACCGCCTGCAGCTGTGTTCTCGTTTTAGTTTCAGTTTTGCTGTTGTGTGTTCTTATTTAAATGTAGCACTTTTCTGCGTAAAAGCAAAACTAATGATAGGAAAATTTGAAGATACTAAACAGCAAAAAGAAAACCCATCCTAAAAGTCATTTCGTAATTTTTATATATTTTTTTTAAATTTTTTATTTCTATATACTATCTATCTATCTATCTATCTATAAATCTATTTATATATATATATATATAAGAGGCTAATATGCTAAATGTCTGTCCGGCCGCTATAATGCACACCTAACACCAGGGGGCGGACGCTCAGTGCAGGAGCTGCCATGACACACACTGGCCATTTACAGAGAAATGGCAACACGGACCTGGTGCCCACAAAGCAACACTCGGCTTCCCTCAAGTGGGACACAGGCCCACCACCACCCGGAGCAACACCCCACCATATCGCAGCCAAAGCTGCCAAGACCCCATGGTGCAAAATGTGGCCCACAGCCCAGCCCAGCCTGGAAACGGTCGCTGTGGGCTCTGGGTAATGACGTCACATAGCAACACCCGGCTTCCTCTCCCTAACAACTAGCCTCCTTGGAGTTTCTTCAGCCCAGGAACACCACTTGCTTTATAGCCAGGTGCAAACACTTTACACTTTATCCACATGTCTGTGAAGCGTTTTTCCGTGCCCCATCTCACTTGATCCTCACAGAAGTCCTGGAGTAGGTGGATAGGAGACACAGTAGAATCCTATTTTCTTTTCATTAGCTGAAAATGGAGATTTATAAAGCTTAGAAACTTGACCCGACTGAAAAGAAGAAATGGTGGACCTTGAAAATGACTTCAGGTCTCACTGCACAGAATATAGTCAGACACTGCTGCAGTTAAATATTTTACATTTTGTTCTTCCTGCGTGATCTACAATAATAATCTGCTTTGTGTTGATATTTACTGCTATGTTGCTGACAATTACCTGAAAGAGAAGTTGGGGTGCTTCACTGGGCTGGAAAAAGTTTAGCTACATCAGAAAGCAGGTCTAATTAAGCAAGTTTATTCTATAACTATAAAAGGCTAAGTTGACTCGCACACGCGCGATACATATAAAGCTCTCGCTAGCGCTAATCGCATGCATGTTTTTCAGTCTGTTATTGTCGATCGTGAATTTGGTTGACACTTATAGAGAAAGGGAGAATAGCAATATTAAAATAGTTCTTCTGCCCTAGCTGGTTTGGCTCAGTGGATAGAGTGTCAGCCTGCAGACTGAAGGGTCCTGGGTTCAATTCCGGTCAAGGACACATGCCTGGATTGCGGGCTTGGTCCCCAGTGGGGGTCCTGCAGGAGGCAACCAATCAATGATTCTCATCATTGATGTTTCTATCTCTCCCTTCCTCTCTGAAATCAATAAAAATATATTTAAAAAATAAATATTTCTTCTAATTCAGTGGTTCTCAACCCTCCTAATGCCGCGACCCTTTAATACAGTTCCTCATGTTGTGGTGACCCCCAACCATAAAATTATTTTTGTTGCTACTTCATAACTATAATTTTGCTACTGTTATGAATCATAATGTAAATATTTGATATGCAGGATGTATTTTCATTGTTACAAATTGAACATAATGAAAGCATAGTGATTAATCACAAAAACCATATGTAATGATATATGTGTTTTCTGATGGTCTTAGGTGACCCCTGTGAAAGGGTCGTTCAACTCCCAAAGGGCTCGCGACCCACAGGTTGAGAACCACTGTTCTAATTCATTTCAATGTGCACGAATTCGTGCACCAGGCCACTAGTACTATATAAAACCCCGGGAGAATCATATACCACCTATACGCCTGCTTTTTTCACTTCACAACATATTGTGGATATGTTTCTGTATCGGTGAACATACAACAGGAGTATTTCAATGGCCTGTGATCATTTTTAAAAAAATATATTTTATTTGTTTTTTACAGAGAGGAAGGGAGAGGGATAGAGAGTTAGAAACATCGATGAGAGAGAAACATTGATCAGCTGCCTCCTGCACACTCCCTACTGGGGATGTGCCTGCAACCAAGGTACATGCCCTTGACCAGAATCGAACCCGGGACCCTTCAGTCTGCAGGCCGACGCTCTATCCACTGAGCCAAACTGGTCAGGGCTGACCTGTGATCATTACATTGAAGTATATTTTCATCAGCCCCTCTTGGAGAGCACGAGGTAATTTTCGGTTTTTGCCATTTGATGCTCCCCGTCTGGGTAGGGTCGTTCCTGTAGGAATTGGTGGGAGAAAAGGATGTACTTGTCTCCCTAGCAGCTGTGTGCCTGTTCCTGTTCCTTTTCAGTGCTGGCGGTCTGACAGGTGAAAGGGTATTTACTTTGAATTTATTTGGTTAATAGTCAGGTTTCACAGTTGTTATGTATTTGTTATATATCCTCTTTAAGGACTTGGCTGCTGTTGCTCTTTGTCCATTTTTTATGCGAGTGTTATACTTTATTTCTTACTAATTTATAAGACCCATTCATGTATTAATGATATTGCTTCTTGGTGTTATGTGCTACAAATATTTTTCTCAGTTCATTGTTTTTATTGGGTTTTTAATGCCCACCTTTCAAAGAAATAGAGTTGCCTATATATTTTTGAATTAGTGTTTTGCATTTCTTTGGATAAGTACCCAGAAGTGAAATTGCTTGGTTATATGGTAATGGTAGGTCTATTTTTAAGTTTTTGAGGAACCTCCAAACGGTTTTCCATAGTGACTGCGCCAATTTACAATCCCACCAGCAGTGCACGAGGGTTCCCTTTTCCTCGCCAACACTTGTTTTTTGTTTTTTCATCTTTTCATATGTCTCTAGGACATCTGTATGTCTTCTTTGGAGAAATGTCTATTCAGATCTTCTATTTTTTAATCAGATTGTGTTTTTTTCCTGGTGTTAAGTTGTATGAGTTCTTTATACTGTATTTTGATATTCACCCTTTATCTGATGTATCATTGGCGAATATGTCTTTTCATTTTGTTGATGGTTCCTTCACCCTAAAAGCTCTTTAGTTTGACATAGTCCCATTTGTTTTTCTTTTGTTTCCTTTGCCTGAGGAGACGTATCCAAAAAATTGCGGAGAATGATATCAAAGAGTTTATTGCCTATGTTTTCTTCTAGGAGTTTTATAGCTTCAGGTCTTACATTTAAATCTTTAATTCACTTGAGTTTATTTTTGCATATGGTTTTGGAAAGTGGTCTAGTTTCATTTTTTGCATGTATCTGTTGAGTTTTCCCAACACCACTTATTGTCTTACCCCATCGTGTATTCTTGTCTCTCTCTTTTTTTTTAAAATATATTTTATTGATTTTTTTACAGAGAGGAAGGGAGAGGGATAGAGAGTTAGAAACATTGATGAGAGAGAAACAGCAATTCAGCTGCCTCCTGCACACTCCCCACTGGGCTGTGCCCGCAACCCCGGGCATGTGCCCTTGACCGGAATCGAACCTGGGACCCTTCAGCCCACAGCCGATGCTCTATCCACTGAGCCACACCAGCCAGAGCGAGGCGTCTGTTTTTATGTCAGTACCAACCTGTTTTGATAACTAACCTTGTAGCAGTGTAGTTTGAGGTCAGGTAGCGTGCTGTCTCCAACTTTGTTCTTTCTCAAGGTTGCTCTGTTTTTTGTGTGTGTGTGTGTTGTTTTTTTTAAAATATATATTTTATTGATTTTTTTACAGAGAAGAAGGGAGAGGGAATAGAGAGTTAGAAACATCAATGAGAGAGAAACATCGATCAGCTGCCTCCTGCACACCCCCTACTGGGGATGTGCCCGCAACCAAGGTACATGCCCTTGACCAGAATCGAACCCGGGACCTTTCAGTCCCCAGGCCAACGCTCTATCCACTGAGCCAAACCAGTCAGGGCTCAAGGTTGCTCTGGTTATATTGAGGGTCTTTTGTGGTTCCATATAAATTTTGAGATTATTCTAGTTCTGTGAAAAATGTCATTAGTGTTTTGATAGGGATTGCACTGAACTATAGATCGCTTTGGGCAGTATGGTCCTTTTAACTATGTTAAGTCTTCCTTTTACAATAATTTATAGTCTTCCATTTGTGTCTTCTTTAGTTTTTCTCTTTAGTGTCTTACCGTTTTCTGAATACAGGTCTTTAAGTTTATTGCTAGGTATTTTATTCTTTTTGATGCAGTTGTACATGGGATTGTTGTCTTAATTTTTCTTTCTCATAGTTTGTTGTTGGTGTATAAAATGCAACTGATTTCTGAATCTGTTTTGTACCCTATACTTGACTGAGTTCATTTATTCTAATAGCTCTTTTGTGTGGAATCTTTAGGGTTCTCTGTAGTATCATGTCATCTGCAAATGTCAGTTTTACCTTTTTCTTTTTCGATTTGGATGCCTTTTCTTTCTTTCTCGTGTTTGATGGTTATGACAGACTTCAGTCCTGTGTGGAGTCCTGGAGGGGTTCTAGCCAGTGGGCTGCTTCCCACTGGGCCCTCAGTTCTGGGACCTGGGGGGGTCCGGTCCTGGCACACGGGTGGGTCCCACCCCGTGTGCACCTGCGTCTCAGAGGGTTTACGTCTGCTCTGCTGTTTGAGCAGAGGGGTCATTTGCTTTGTTTGTTTGTGTGTTTTTTCTTCTGAAAATAGCAGTCTCTTTATTGCTTATTATAAACATTGAAAATGTCCACTATAAATACATAAAGGATTAAATATATCTTTATGTATATCTGTATGTATAGAATAAGATAAAATAAACCCTATTGCTCAGGGATAGTCACTTAACATTTTCATATATAACCGTATAGATTTTTATTGTTGTCTATATAATGTAGTTGGATATCAGTGTCTACATGCTGTTACATAAATGAAATCGTACCCCTCATCTATTACATACTTTCGCCCCAATGATACGTCTGATCTGGAAATCACTTGGGTTGTGGGTGAATTTCCCGCCAAAATATAAGATGGCGCGTTAAAATGCCTATATCTTTTGAAGTATGGGTTCGATTGAAATGAAATATTTGGTAATACGCAGTTACAATCGGCCCGAGTTTACACGTTTCCCGCACTCCACCGCAAATCTATATGAACCGAGTTTAAGACGGCTCCCGCGGAGTACGCGCAATTCACGCGAGCCGACTTAACTCGTTTCCCGCAACCCAAGTGTTAACGTATCTTCAGTGTTTCTGTGTGAGGAGATGCTCTTGTGTGGGTGGCCTTGACATAACTGACTTAAATCATCCCCCCCCCATCTACCCAGACAGCTGCTTTATATTTTCCTGTTACAGTTTACATTCAGTATTTTATATTAGCTTCAGGTATACAGCATAATGGTTTGATAATCATACAAAGCGTTCTAATACCCGTCTGACACTATCCACAGTTATTACAATATTATTGACTATATTCCTTGCGCTGTACTTTATCCCCCCCGGCGGCCATCAGCCTTGCTCTGTGTCTGTACGTCTGTTCCGTTTTATTAAACAGCCTCTTTAACGGGCATGTTGGTGGTGCTCACTGTTTGCCCTGTTAACAGCGCTGTGCCGGCTGTCCCTCCTGCTCACTGAGGCAGCCGCTCTCCGGATTTCTCTGTATGTTTTTGGATACAGAACTCTGGGTCACAGTTTGAGTATATTCAGAATTTGGATGCATGTTGTCAACTGCCTTCCCGACGGTGGGCTGATTCTGCCCACCGCTCTGGCCGCGGGACGGTGTGTTGGACGACATGGACGCAGCAGTGGGCTTTCCTGGCCCCTGGGTGGGCAGTGTCCAGCTCTGAGGCATTTCCTCAGCCCCAGTGATGGCAGGCCTGCTTCTCCCATCCGCCCCCAGAACGCCGTCCGGGTCCCTCGGGACTTTGAGGGCTGCAGCGTCCTCCGCAAGTACCTCGGCCAACTCCACTACCTGCAGAGCCGGGTCCCCATGGGTTCAGGCCAGGAGGCTGCTGTTCCTGTCACCTGGTGAGAGCTGACTGGGGCGTCTGGGTGCTGGGGATGCCCCTTCCTCCCTTTTCCTGTTGCAGAGGGTGGGGAGCAGCTGGATATGGTGTCTCCCAGGGCCTCCCTCCAACCCTGCACGGGGGTGGCTGGGCCCTCACCTGCCCTCGGGATGACCAGGTGCCATGTCTGCAGGACCGAGATCTTCTCGGGCAAGTCTGTGGCGCACGAGGACATCCAGTACGAGCAGGCCTGCATCCTCTACAACCTGGGTGAGCTGCCTGCCGCCCCGCAGCAGACGATGGGGCCGTGGGCTGGTGCAGGGAAGACCCCTGTATTCGGACCCCTCCCCTGCCTCCCACATCTCTGCCAGCGCCTCCTTTCTGGGCCTCGGGGAGCCACCTGTTGGGGAGAGGCTCTATGGGGCTGCTGCCACGGTGTGGCCGCTGTGGGCTCCGCTGGGACGATGGCCGCCATGGCTCTGACTGGACAGCTCCCAACCCCCCTTTTGAGTTTGGGCTGCTCCAGGCAGAAGGAAAACAAGGTTGGGCTCAGCCGGCTCTGCTATCAACCTGATGACTCGGCCCCAGCTGGGCTCCAGGGAGAAGCTTCCAGACCGGACTTCTAGGCCAGAGTCTGCCCAGGAACTCTCCTCCGTCCACCTGCACCCCTGCTTGGTGCGGAGCAGGAGCCTGGGGGTCTTGGCAGACGTCGATGAGTTTCCCCATTTGCTCAGCTTTGATATCCATGGACCAGCTGCCCCAGTGCAGACCCGTTTTCCTGATCATGGGTCACAACACTGCGCCCTTTGCCTTACTGTTAACACAGGTGTGGGGAGCACCCCCAGACTGACCCCGTGCCCTCTGCCTCCCCAGGTGCACTGCACTCCATGCTGGGAGCCATGGACAAGCGGGTGTCTGAAGAGGTGAGCAGGGCAGGGCAGTGGACGGGACATGGGATGTGACCAGGGAGGGCTGCTGCGCGCTCTCAGATCTCGAGTTGGGCTGAATCCTGCCCCAGGTCTGGTGCTGCCCTTGGCCACCCTCCTTCTCTCCCTCCCAGGGCATGAAGGTCTCCTGTACGCACTTCCAGTGTGCAGCAGGCGCCTTTGCCTACCTGCGGGAGCACTTCCCTCACGCCTACAGCGTCGACATGAGCCGCCAGATCCTCACTCTCAATGTCAACCTCATGCTGGTAAAGGAGGTGCCCTGGTGGGAACTGAGTTGAATCCAGGGAGGGGACTTCGAGCTGGACCCTAGACAGGCCCAGCAGAGGGCAGTGCAGGGCCTGGGCTCTGGTCTGACAGCGCCAGGTGGGTCAGGAGCAGGGCTGGGGACTGGAGGGAGGGTGTGGAGGTGTCCCTGGGGTCTGCCTGCTAGCAGGGCAAGGCCTCGGGTGGACCAGGGAGTGGACCTGACTGGTTGCCCCAGGGCCAGGCTCAGGAGTGCCTTCTGGAGAAGTCGATGTTGGACAACAGGAAGAGCTTCCTGGTGGCCCGCATCAGCGCCCAGGTAGGGAAGGGGGAGATGTGCTCAGGGCTGGCCTTCGGTGTTCTGCCGACGCCCCACTGACCCCATCGGGCCCCCAGGTGGTGGATTACTACAAGGAGGCCTGCCGGGCCTTGGAGAACCCTGACACCGCCTCACTGCTGGGCCGGATCCAGAAGGACTGGAAGAAGCTGGTGCAGATGAAGATCTACTACTTTGCGGCTGTGGCTCATGTGAGGCACCGTGCCTCTGACTCTGGGCTGGGCTGAGCTGCCACAGCCTGGGAACTAAGTAGCGATGTCTCTTTCCTCCCAGCTGCACATGGGGAAGCAGGCTGAGGAGCAGCAGAAGTTCGGGGAGCAGGTGAGTGAGTTGTGAGGACAGCACTCAGGACTGGTTCCAGCCTTGTTAGTGAGATGCCGGTGGATCCCTTCCCTACAGAATAGGGGAGGTGGTCTTCTCTTGGCCTCCCATCTCCTCATCCCTGAACAAGCCCCTGCTGCAGTCTGGGGTGTCCTGTCTGTGCAGCCCTTATCCCTGGGAGCTGAGGAGGCATAGCAGACTCCCTGCAGAGGGGCTGGCTGGTACCCAGCTATCTGGCCTTTAGTGGTCATGTGACGGCCAGGCAGGGCTCATTGGGGGGCAGAAGGAGGAGACTCCAAGCAGGGAAGGACCAGGCTCTCCCCACTGTCCCCACAGGTCGCGTACTTCCAGAGTGCCCTGGACAAGCTCAGTGAAGCCATCAAGTTGGCCAAGGTAAAGACAAGAAAGGGCCTGCTGCCCGAGAGCCTGAGGACAGGGAGCAGCCTGCGGGCGGGGGTGCTGGCACTGGCCTTGTTGATGCTGAGCCCTTCCCTACCCTGCAGGGCCAGCCTGACACTGTGCAAGACGCACTTCGCTTTGCTATGGACGTCATTGGAGGAAAGTGAGTCTGTGGGGCCGGGGGTGGCCCTGGTCCTTCTCATGAGGAAGGGTCTTGGCCCTCTGCCTGCACCCTTGAGAGGGAGCCACCAGCGCCAGAGAGCAGTGGCCCCATAGAGGCCAGCTCCTGGGCCCCTGCTGCTCATCCAAGACCGCCCCCCCTTCCCTGGACCCCCAGGTACAATTCTGCCAAGAAGGACAATGACTTCATCTACCACGAGGCTGTCCCGGCCCTGGACACCCTTCAGCCTGTGAAAGGTCTGCCGCTGGGGGGAGGCTGGGGGTCAGGGAGGAGGGACAGGGGCATAGAGCAGAAGTGAGGGCTGCAAGGGCCTGGGCTCCACAACTTCTCTCTCCCAGGTGCCCCCTTGGTGAAGCCCTTGCCAGTGAACCCCACAGACCCAGCTGTCACAGGCCCTGACATCTTCGCCAAGCTGGTCCCCATGGCTGCCCATGAAGCCTCGTCCCTGTACAGGTGGGTGGGAGGGCGGGCCCTGCCCTCGGCACGGGTGGGAGTGGGGTGTCTCGAGAGACAGAGGCTTCCAGCAACTGCTCTGTCGCTTCTGCAGTGAGGAGAAGGCCAAGCTGCTTCGAGAGATAATGGCCAAGATTGAGGACAAGAATGAGGTGCTGGAGTAAGTGTGGGGCTGGGGCTAGGGCGTGGGGTTACACACCAGGCCTCGGCGGGTCCCTGGTGCTGCCGCAGGAGGGAAGGTAGTAGCGGGTGGTCCCTGGTGCTGCCCTCAGGAGGGAAGGTGGTAGCGGGTGTTCCCCGCTCTGTCCTCCCCACCCAGGTCTTGTTAGTGAGAGCCCGAGTCGTGGGAGGGGTGTCCATTCTGCCCGTGTTGTCCGCAGTGCGGTGGGCATGCCCTGGGGCCAGGCCAGCCTCAGGGTGGAGGTCAGGGTGCTGGTCTGCTCTCTGCTGGGGCCTCAGACTTGTCTGCAGCTGCGGGGGAGACTCACCCTAGTGCACTCTCTGTACATGTGAGGACTTGGGTCAGCACCCATCAGCCGCCTGGTCCTGGTGTCCCCACAGCCAGTTCATGGATTCAATGCAGCTGGATCCCGAGACAGTGGACAACCTGGACACGTACAACCACATCCCGCCCCAGCTCATGGAGAAGTGTGCAGCTCTCAGCGTCCGGCCCGACACTGTCCGGAACCTCGTCCAGTCCATGCAAGGTGGGAGGGGGTAGGCAGGTGAGGGTGGGGATGTCATCTCCTGTGGCCTTTCCTGTCCCCTGTTCCCCCAGGATGGAGGGTGCACCTCTCCCAGCACCTGGCACAAATACCGTCCCCCACGCCACACCCTGGGTGTGCTTGCTCGGCAAGCATTGGGCTGCCCACAAGCCTTGACTGAGGGTAGTGCTGTCCCTGGGGCACAGGCCAGGGTGGGTGCCTGGTCTGCCTGCCTCAGGCTGTCCCCCTCCCCGTACACACCCTCAGTGCTGTCAGGTGTGTTCACGGACGTGGAGGCCTCACTGAAGGACATCAGGGACCTGCTGGAGGAGGATGAGCTGCTAGACCAGAAGTTGCAGGAGGCAGTGGGCCAGGCAGGGGCCAGTGTGGCCGGTTCCAAGGCGGAGCTGGCAGAGGTGAGGCGAGAATGGGCCAAGTATATGGAGGTCCACGAAAAGGCCTCCTTCACCAACAGTGAGCTGCACCGCGCCATGAACTTGCACGTTGGCAACCTCCGCCTGCTCAGTGGGCCTCTGGACCAGGTCCGGGCTGCCCTGCCCACACCAGCCCTCACCCCAGGTGAGCACCCCCCTCCTGGGCCGTGGCTGAGATGGCTGGGGCGTTTCTGGCCTCACTGACCCCTGCTGCCCACAGAGGACCAGGCCGTGCTGCAGAACCTGAAGCGCATCCTGGCCAAGGTGCAGGAGATGCGGGACCAGCGCGTGTCTCTGGAGCAGCAGCTGCGGGAGCTCATCCAGAAGGACGACATCACCGCCTCGCTGGTCACCACGGACCGCTCCGAGATGAAGGTGCGGGAGCAGGTGGCGGGGCCCTGGCTGTGGGCTCCACCCTGAGGTGGCAAAGCCTTGAGTGTCTGTCCTCACCCCTAACTCCCTCAGAAGCTGTTCGAGGAGCAGCTGAAGAAGTACGACCAGCTGAGGGTGTACCTGGAGCAGAACCTGGCCGCCCAGGACAACGTCCTCCGCGCGCTGACCGAGGCCAACGTGCAGTATGCGGCCGTGCGCCGGGCGCTCAGCGAGCTGGACCAGAAGTCAGTGCCTGGCCTTGCGCTCCTGCCCAGAGCCCCTCCCTGAGCTTGGCTCCCGCCGCTCACCTCCCTCCGGCCCCTCTGCCCTCCAGGTGGAACTCCACGCTGCAGACCCTGGTGGCCTCCTACGAAGCCTATGAGGACCTGATGAAGAAGTCCCAGGAGGGCAAGGACTTCTATGCGGACCTCGAGAGCAAGGTGGCCGCTCTGCTGGAGCGGGCCCAGTCCACCTGCCAGGCCCGCGAGGCTGCCCGCCAGCAGCTCCTGGACAGGTAGGTGTGGCCCCGGGACCGCAGGGCGCTGCAGCCCAGACCGTCTGGCTGATTGGGCTGGTTCCCCTTCTTCCCTCGTCCCGCAGGGAGCTGAAGAAGAAGCCACCCCCACGGCCCACAGCCCCCAAGCCACTGCTGCCCCGCAGGGAGGAGGGTGAGGCCGGGGAGATGGGAGACCCGCCCGAGGAGCTGCGCAGCCTGCCCGACGCCTTCCTGGGAGCTGCCGCCACACTCCGCTTGGCTCCGGTCCCCTTCCCTGGCTCTGCGGGCCCGGGACCCCACTATCTCTCAGGCCCCTTGCCCCCAGGCAGTTACTCAGGACCCACCCAGGTGATGCAGCCCAGGGGCCCCCAGGCTCCGGGGCCCCCTGTGATGGCCATGGCGCCTGGACCCCCCATCTACGCGGCGCCTGTCTACACACCAGAGCTGGGCCTCGTGCCCCGCTCCTCCCCTCAGCACGGCGTGGTGGGCACGCCCTATGGGGCCATAGGCCCACACCCCCCAGCCGCAGGCCTGCCCTCCGCCCCCCCGCCCCAGTTCTCGGGCCCTGAGTTGGCAATGGGGGTCCGGCCAGCCACCACCACGGTAGATAGTGTCCAGGCGCCCATCTCCAGCCACACAGCACCCCGGCCAAGCCCATCCTGCTCCTCCCAAGCCCTGCTTCCCAGTACCCCCACCCCAGCCACTGTCCATGCCCTACACCTATCATCTGGGAACTAAGCAGCCCCTCACAGCAACACCAGCCTAACACCACTATCCTCATAGGATCTCTACGAGGTTTCCAGCCACAAGGAAAGGGGCTCAGCCCCAGCGTCATCCCCCATGGGCAGAAATTGGGACCCAGCCCCCATAGAACACCTCCAAGAATTTCCTCCAGCAGTCCCTTACACCTCCAAAAACCCAAACATCTGCCGAACCATGTTCCAGGGAGACTGAGTCACATGACACGATTTACTTGGCACCACAAGCCATGTTTGGGAGAGACAGCCATGCCTCTATGTTACGGCCATGACCAGGGCCCGCTTCTTACTGCATGCCCAGGCATGGGAGACTAACTTTTCTTGAGGCCTGGGCCTCTCTCACGGGCTCTCTTTATCCCCAAGTCAAAAAAACGACCAACGATTTCAAGGGCCCCCTTTTTTCTCAGTTACTCCAAAGAACGGTCCCATGCTCTCTCTCTCTGCTCCTTTCTTGAACGAAAATTCG